ATGAGATAACATGGTGTAGAGCTGGATGAACACAGCAGGCTAAGCAGCATCAGAGGAGCAGGAAAGCTGACGTTTCGGGCCTAGACCCTTCTTCAGAAAAAGTTGTTATGAGAAACTGTTTAATGCTTGTGAGCAGTCTTGACTTTACCCTTTTTGTTCTGTTTCCTTTATGGTTGGTTGAGGGTTTCAATGAATCTTTGGCAAGAGTGCAACGATTGTGTAGTAATTAGATATTGGGTATATTGAGCTGACTGTCAGTAAAATGTCAAACCCCCAACATCCTTTCTCCCCTGACACTTCAACTCCCCTCCCCCCACTATTACATAAATGCTGCTCCCACCACACTTCATGTCAACTGTGATGAAGTCATCTAGACTCGAAATGTTAGCTTGCTTTCTCTCCACAGAATCTGCCTAACCTGCTGTGATATCCAGCATTTTTGTTTTCAGTACAGATTCCAGCATCTGCAGTAATTTGTTCCTCTATTTGAAGAATAGGTGAGAGATGCTGTAGGACCAGGACATGTAATTCAATGAAAGTTGCTGACACTTTTGAATATGTGAGGAAGTCATGATCATGGAAGAATTTAGGAACAGCATTCAATGAGCTATTAAGTCTCATTTAGAGAACTATAATATTTCCAAAATAAGGATAGCTCCAGTTTTAGCCAAACATTACATCTCACATAGAGAGATAGGTAAATCTCCATTTTAGGTCCCACAAGGAAGCTGGAGGAGTTGAAAATACACAAAGGCTTTAACAGGAAGACCAAGGCTGTTAGGATTGCTATTGAAGTTAAAAAGTGTTGTAAGGAAATTCATATGATTTCACTGTAAAATAAAATTGGAACTTAAAGAACAAACAGTTGCACAAACAGGAATGCCTGCGGAATCTGCAAAAGACACAGTAAAATAACAGTAATAAAACCACAGCAACAGTATATTGGAAAGTTTTTCCTCAGAACATGCTAAATTGGTAAATGTAATTGCTCAAGCTAATCACAGACATTCTTCATGTACTGAAGAAGTGATCAGGTTACTGAAGCCTATGAAAGTTTTGTTTAAGGTAAAAGTACTCCTTTACACCTCTGACAAATTAAGTTCTTCAAAAATTAGATAACGAGAGCCCAGAGGCAGTATGTCCTTATTAGTGTGAAAGGCAAGGCCAACAGGAGTAGGAAATTGAAGCTCTGGTCAAGAAAAAAAAAAGGAGGCATACGACAGGTATAGGCAGCTTGGTTCAAGTAAATCCCTTCAGGAGTATAGGAGCAGTAGTAGTATACTCAAGGGAAATCAGGAGGGCAAAAATGGCATATGAAATAGCTTTGGCAAAAGGTTTAAGAAGGATCCTAAGAAATTCTACAAATAAATTAAGGGCAAAAGAGTAACGAGGGTGAAAATAGGGCCTCTTAAAGATCAACAAGGCCGCAGGACAAGAGTGTAGCCGGATGGGCCACTCAAAATGGCAAAATCAGATAATACACCAAGCATGCTGTGAAATCAAGCGTAGCATTGGCCGAAGTATCCGTGCAAAGATACTGAAATAAACAAGCTGCAGACCCAGACAGGCAGGTTGCAGCTGCACACAGCACAATACACAAGGGCCCAAACCTATTTTCCAGGACAACAGGAAACATTGAGCTGTCTCTGGAACAAAGGGACACCTCATACTTGTATCTGGAAAGGCTACCTGACTTACGTGCCCCTGATGCTTTCAGAAATAGAGGACCAATGGCCACCCCACCATCCAGTTGGGAATGCCTGACTGGGTCTCAGGGTAACCAATTCCTGATCGATCCATTGGTGACAATTGAAGACCTTCCCAAAAGGGGTGCAGAAGCTCCCAAGGATCACCACAACACCACCCTCGGGAGCGGTAACTCAAGACCAACCACCATAAGAAGAGGCGCCTCTGGGGCCACTAGGAGAGGAAGACCAGATAACCATCACCACATGGATCAAGGCCAAGGTCTAGTGTGCTGATGTTTGATCATTCCAAGTTAAGTTCAAGGACAAGATACTGACTTAGATTTACAGTGTTAATTGTCAGATTTATTGTATTAATTGTTAGTTGTAGCATGATCGTTATTATAATATTAATGGTGTTATAACCAATAAAGATCATTTCCTATCAAGAGTCGACTCACAGTCCTTTGTGGGATATATGAACTAAATACACTGTGTGGTGAGGTCAACAGGGGTGAGATACTAAACATGCAAAATACAATCAGAATTTACTGCAGAGAAGGATATGGAAGCTACAGAGCTTTGAGAAATAAACAGTGATATCTTGAAAAGTGTTCATATAACAGAGGAGGTGGTGCTCGAAGTCTTAAAATGCATAAAAGGTGGATAAATCACCAGGATGTGATTAGGTGTATCCAAGAATTTTGTGGGAAGCTAGGGGCGTGATTACTGAGTCCCTTGCTGAGATATCTATATTATCGATGGCCATGGGAGAGGTGCTAGAAGACAGGAGGGTGGCTAATGTGGTTCCATTATTTAAGAAAGGTCATAAGGAAAAGCCAGGGAACCATAGACCGGTCAGCCTGATGTCAGTGGTCGATAAGTTGTTGGAGGGAATCCTGAGGAACAGGATTTACATGTATTTGGAAAAGCAGGGACTGCTTAGGGATAATCAATATGGCTTTGTGCGTGGGAAATCGTGTCTCACTAACTTGAGTTTTTGAAGAAATGACGAAGAAGATTCATTAAGGCAGAGCATTGGAAGTTGTCTATATGGACTTTGATTGGCATTCAAAAAGGTTCCGCATGGTAAACTGGTGAGCAAGGTTAGATCACATGGAATCCAGGGAGCTAGCCATTTGGATATAAAACGCTTCTGTCCACTTCAGCTGTAAAACAGCAGCGCTCTGAAAACTTGTGATTTTAAATAAACCTGTTGGACTATAACCTGTTGTCATATGACTTCTGATTTTGTCATTTATACAAATGATTTGGATGAGAAGACAGGAGAAATGGTTCGTAGGTTTGAAGATTACACTAAAATTGGAGGTGTAGTGGACAGTGAAGAAGGTTACCTCAGAGTACGATGGGATCTTGAGCAGATGGGCCGATAGGCTCAGGGGTGCCACGTGGAGTTTAATTAGATAAATGTGAGGTGTTGCATTTCGGTAAGGCAAATCAGGGCAGGACATGTACACTTAATAATACGATCCTGGGGAACGTTGCTGAACAAAAAGAGACCTCAGGTTGCAGGTTCAAAGTTCCTTGAAGGTGGAATCACAGGTAGACAAAGTAGCAAGAAAAGCATTTGGTACATTTGCCTTTATTAGCCAGTGCACTGAGTATAGGAGTTGGGAGGTCATGTTGCGGCTGTACTGTACATCAGTTAGGCCACTTTTAGAATACTGCATTCAATTTGGTCTCTTTGCTATAGTAAAGATGTTGTGGAACTTGAAAGTGGGTTCAGAAAAGATTTACAAGGATGATGTCAGGGTTGGAGCTTTTGAGCTACAGGGAGAGGCAGAGTAGGCTGGGACTATTTTCCCTGGAGTGTCAGAGGCTGAGGGGTGACCTTATGGAGGTTTATAAAGACATGAGGGGTATGGATAGGGTGAATAGCCAAGGTCTTTTCCCCAGGTAGGGGAGTCCAAAACCACAGAAAAAAAGACATAAAAGGGACCTAACAAGCCACATTTTCATGTGGACGTGATGGGTGTATGTATTGAGCTGCCATTGGAAGGGACGGAGACTGGTACAATTACATTTGAAAGGCATCTGGTCAGCATGGATGAGTTGGACCCAAGGGTCTGTTTCCATGCTGTACAACTCTATGAATCTAAGTAAACAAATTAAATATTTTAGGAGATTAGTTGAGACATTGATGGTGGCTTATGATAGAATTGGTCTTCAATTAGTCTGGTAAAAGTAAAGGCATGATAGTGTAGTCATGAAGGTAAAACTCCTTCTCTGACAGAAAATTAAGATATTAAAGTGACTTGGCACATGAAGCTGCTCTTGAAGGAGTTATTCCTAGATTACCTTTTGAAGAAATAGATTTTATATTTAGAAACAATTGGGCAAGTGGCAAAGTATTAGTGTCCCCAGGAATTTCAATCAGCTAGATTCACATTGAGAAAAACTGAGATTTTGTAGGAGGAACAGTCTGGACTGTTCATAGATCCTGTGTAAGGCAAGATGAGATTAAATGAAATCAATCAAAACAGAGAATGATTCATGTGGTCCATCACCTAGGCCATTTTGTCTGGGAACAGAAAGAGAAATTGCTGGAGAAGCTCAGCACGTCTGGCAACATCTGTGGCGAGAAAGTGGAGTCAACAAGAGACAACAATGACAAGAGACAATTGTTGCCTCTGCTATATCTCCACAGATGCTGCCAGACAAGCCGAGATTCTCCAGCAATTTTTTTTGTTTCAGATTTCCAGCATCTACAGTTCTTTGCTTTTTATTTAACATTTTCTGGGAAAGTGGCCAAGAAAAGATTTGTGACTAACTTATTTAAATCAATCTTTAATTGAAGCCCAGCAAATATAATCTGGGTTACGGAGATTTCCTCAAGCAGTGGATTCCGAGAAACAGCAAAAAGGTTCCAGAATGTTATTACCCAAAAGTTTATATGTTAACAAGGGTGTGGAATGCACTGCCTGGAAGTGTGGTGGAAGCCGGTTCATTTGAGGTACTTATGAGGATATTGGGTGATTATTTCTATTCAAATAATGTGCAAGGAACAGAGGTAAAGCAGGAGACTGCCACTAGGCAATGATAATCATTTGAAGAGCCAGCACAAACACAAGGGGCTAAATGGCCTCCTTCTGTGCAGTAACACATCTATGACTCTAAAAACTGGAGATCTTCACAAAGACCAGATGAGAAATGAACCTTAGTCCATCAAATTGTTGGCCATCCTCAAGATCACTGGGAAATTTTTAAGGGTTGCATGAGATTCCAAGAGTGGGTCATATGGAAACAAGAAAAACAGGTCTCAACTGAAATCATATCACCATGTTTACTTGTTACCTCTGATTTTTTTTTCTTTTTTTTCCATTCACAGGATGAGGGCGTCACTGGCTAGGCAGCATTTATTGTCCATTCCTAATTGCCCAGAGGGTGGTTACGAGTCAACCACATTGCTGTTGGTCTGGAATCATGTGTAGGCCAGACCAGGTAAGGATGGCAATTTCCTTCCCTAAAGGGCATTAGTGAACCAGATGGGTTTTTCCTGACAGTCAGCAACAGATCCATGGTCATCATTAGACTCTTAATTCCAGACATTTATTGAATTCAAATTCCACCATTTGCCGTGGTGGGATTTGAATCCGGGTCCCCAGAACATTAGCCGGGTCTCTGGATTAACAGTCCAGTGATAATACCACTAGGCCATCAGCTCCCCATAATCCTGACCATTCCAGTGCTGAGTAGTCGCTCATCTTCCATCATTTATAAAATGAAGTCCATCAATATTCTAATATCTGAATTATTACTCACATAAATTCCCATTTACCCAATATCCCCATGCTCATTGACTGACAAATCTGCCTTGCCCCCTCCTCTATTTCCGTAACCCAAGATACTGCACGGCTTTTACAACCTGCAAATGGTGTTGTGGTTGAACAGCTCCGACACTCAGATGAACAGTCAATTGGACACAGTACTGGACGCTGCCAATATGCATGGAAGTGTGTTCCAACACAAGGGAGTGATTTCAGAACACCAGAAAAAGCACAAACCTGACATTAGGAAACCGTGACATTCTTCAAGCAGCTCATGTTAATAATGCTTGACTTTCATTAAGAGTGAAAATTGCATTAGTGTGGTTGCCTGTTGAATTGACAGCAGCCTGTCCTTGTGAAAAGCTCACTTTGGGAAGTGGTCACTCAACATGTTAGGCAGACAGGGAATGGATCACTGCCAGCCAGTCAGTGCAAAAGTCCCTGGAGATGATCTAATTCTTGAACTGGCTTCCCATTTTAGATATTGACGAGGACAACGGTTATCGACTCATACAGCGTGGATAAAGGCTCTTCTACAAAGGAGCGCAGTTAGAGTCAAGACTGCAGCACTCCAGGTAGTACAATTGCACAAGAGTGGATGCAGAAGATTAGCATAGCATTGTTTTTGGGGGATTCGTTAGTTATGGGAAAGGACAACATTTCTATGGGCATGACCATAGTGGTAGGTTCTCTCTTTCTGGCACCAAGGTCAGGGATGTCAACGGTACGGCTGCAAGACATTCTTCCGGAGGTGTGTGAGCACTCAGAGGTCATCATCATAATGGTACCAATAACATAGGTAAGAGAAAGGTGAAATGGCAAAAACAAAATTTTAGGAAACTAGGAAGAAGTTTAAAAAGCACAGACTCAAAAGCAGGAATATCAGAATTACTTCCAGTCATAGAAACTCTACAGTGCACAGGGAGGCCATTTAGCCCAGCAAGTCTGCACCAACCTCAAAAAAGAGCATCCCCCACAGACCGACTCCCCACACCCGCTGCCTATGGCCCCACATTAAACATGACTAATTCACCTAGCCCACACATTCCTGGACATATTACAGCAATTTAGCATGGCCAATCCACCTAACCTGCACATCTTTAGACTGTGGGAGAAAACCAGAGCACCTAGAGGAAACCCATGCAGACACAGGGAGAATATGCGAACTCCACACAGACAGGTACCCAAGGCTAGAATTGAACCCGGGCCCCCGGTGCTGTAAAGCAGTAGTGCAAACCAATTTGGCACCGTGCCACCCATATTCTAGTGAGCATAGAAATTGGAGAATTGGGTGCTTGATCATATGACTGAAGAATTGGTATAGGAGGAAGGGCATCAGATTTCTATGGTATTGAGTTTGGTACAGGGGCAGTTGCCCCTGTACAAGACAGATAAGTTGTATCATAGCAGGACCAGAACTCGTACTCTTGGAGGCAGATTTGCTCTTGTTATTGGGGAGCTTTCAAGCTAGATTGCCAGGGGATGGAAACCTAAAAGGAAGTTTTAATTGAAGCAAAACAAAACAGGTGACAGGAAGTAAAAACACAAACAAGCACAATTTGAAGACACATGAAGCAAAGGCAGGATTCAAATAGGATCAAAATGGAGAATAACGTTAAAGAGGCAGAATTAAAAGCAATCCATCTGAATGCATGCAGTGTTTGCAGCTGCAGGATATTTAAATTGGAAAGTAAATATCCAATAATATTCATCAATTAGAAGGAATGCTCTTAATAGACGACAAGTACATTAGCAAGAGAGGAACTTACAGTGAGCGATCAAAGTGTAAAATCAGCTTGCGTGGAAAGGAGAAAACAGCAAGGGGCAGCAAATGTTGATGAGAGTTATTTATAGATCACCAAACCATAAAGGTAATATTGCGCATGAAAAGAGTCAGGAAAGTGGAGATAGATGGGCAACACAGTAATAATGGACCACTTTCAATTTAAAGTAAATATTGCCTTTGATCAATAGAAATGGTCCATAGCAATGTCAGAAAAGGTGGTGAACCCAAGAAGAAAGAGTAATTCAGGGCCAGCAAAGGATCATCAAGAAACTGACACAGAAAGGGTAAAGAGAATATGAATGCAAGCTCACAAAAATGCAAAAGCAGACAATAAAAGCTTCTTTTGATACATGAAAAGGAAAAAAAATACTGTGACAAATGTGGGCCTATTACAAATAGAGAACAAGTGAATTTATAATGGACAACAGGGAAGTGACAGAGAAACTAAATAATTATTGTGTGTCTGTTTACATAGATGATATATAAAATCGCTTAGAAATACTACGCAATCAACAGGCTTGTGAAAACAATGAAATCAAAGAAATTAATATGAACAAAGACGTAGCAATTGAAAAGTTAACAAGTTTAAAAGGTTCATAAATCCACTCAACCATATCAGCTACATTCCAGAATATTGAAGGAAATGGCTATACAGATATTGGATGCGTTAGTGGTTCTCATTCAAAATTATTTTCTTTTTTGTTTATTTGTTCATGGGACATGGTGTCACTAGCTGCACCAGCAATTAGTACCCATTCCAATTGTCCTTGAGAAGGCAGTGGTGAGCTGTTTTCTTAAATCACTACAGTCATTGGATACAGGGATATCAGTGCTGCTGGGAGTTCATGGATTTTGACCCAGCCAATGAAGGAACAGTGATAAGTTTCAAGTCAGGTTGTGTGACTTGGAGGGGAACTCACAGGCATTGGTGTTACCATGCCTCTACTGCCCTGGTTCTTTAGCTGGTAGAGGCCAAGGTTTAGAAAGTGATATCTCAGCAACGGTGCACATTGCTGCATGAGTGATGAAGGAAGTGATTCTTGTCACCTTATAAACCACATTCAATGAAGTGGGCTGCTTTGTCCTGGAGTGTGTCAGGCTTCTTGGGGATGAATGGCATACAGGAGTATGCCATACTAGGAAGTTTCTGTATATGTTTTCACTTAAATGTTAGTTGCCACTTAGAAGCCCAAGCCTGGATATTATCCAAATTTTGCCAAATACAGACACAGACTGCTTCAGTCTGCAGATGCGCAATGTTCAGCGCCAATCATCAGTGAACATCCCCACTTTTGACCTTATGATGAAGACAAGATCATTGATGAAGCAGGTGAAGAGAACTGTGCCCAAAGACATTACTCGAAAGGAATTCTTGCACTGGTGTCTTGCAACTGAGAAGACTAACTTCTAAACAACTAAAATCCTGTTCCTTTGTGCCAGGTATTACTTCAACTATTGAACTATCCCCTTGTTATCCATTCATTCTAGTTTTTTTGTAGGGCTCCTTGATGCCATACCTAATCAAATACAAGACTTTTTTCTGATGAAGGGTCTAGGCCCGAAACGTCAGCCTCTCTGCTCCTATGATGCTGCTTGGCCTGCTGTGTTCATCCAGCCCTGCACCTTGTTGTCTCGGATTCTCCAGCATCTGCAGTTCCTACTATCTCAAATACAAGGCTTGATGTCAAGAACAGTCACCCCAAACTCACCTCCAGAATTTAGCTCTTTTCTCCATGTTTGGACCACAGCTGTAATGAGATCAGCAGTTAAGTAGCCCAGCAGAACCCAAACTGAGCATCAGTGAGCAGTTTATTCCTTTACACCATTGACAGCCTCTTCCATCACTTTGCTAATGATCAACAGTCCACTGGAGGGGGTTGGATCTGTCTTGCATTCTGCACAAGGGACACAGGACAATTTTTCACATTGTTGAGGAGATGACAGTGCTGTAGCTGCATTCGAACAGTTTGGATGGACTGGTGGTTTGTTCTGGAGCACTGACAATTTGTGTTAGTGCCAGAATGTTGTCAGGACCCATAGCCTTTGCAGAGTCCAATACTTTCAGTGTTTCTTGCTATCACTTGGAGTGAGCTTAATTGGCTGAGGAGGCTGAGATAGATCATCCACTAGCACTTCTGGCTGAAGACTGTTGCAAATGTTTCGTAGAAGTCCTACAATGTGAAAACAGGCCATTCAGCCCATTGAGTTCACACTGACCCTCTGAACAGCATCTTACCCAGACCCATCACCCTATCCTGTATAACACTGCATTTCCCATGCTAATCCACTTGACCTGCATATCCTTGAACACTACGGGCAATTTAGCATGGCCAATCTACCTAAACTGCACATCTTTGGATTGTGGAAGGAAGCTAGAGCACCTAGAGAAAACCCACTCAGACATGGGAACAATGTGCAAACTCTACACAGGCACACGAAGGTGAATTTGAACCTGGATCCCTGGCGCTGTGAGGCAACAATGCTAACCACTGAGCTACCGTGCCGCCCAATTTCTAACATTGTCTTTTGCTCTTTGTTAGGATCCCCGGTCATTGAAGATAAGAATATTGGTGGGGCTTCCACCTCCAATGAATTGTTGAAATTTTCCACCACAATTGCATGTGGGAAAACTGTAAAGCTTCAAACTGGTTCACATTGGTTGTGGGATTGCTTAGCCCTGTCTATTGCATGCTGCTTCTGTTGTATGGCACCCAAGTATCCCAAGTTATAACTCCACCACGTTGACACCTCATTTTTTAGG